AGTATATAAACCCTTACACTTGTGAGGGTCAGATATCCAATATTCAAACCTTAAACCCTAATATCTTGCTTGTATCTCTTTGCAGTCATTTATACTTGACCGTCAGAGTGTCTTGCAGGTACAACCCCTCTTTCTCCTCAACTTTCCAGCAAACCATATGTTATCCTTCGGTCCACTTTCAAATTCTGATCACAGGTACGATCATTAACCATATTTTATTCTAATTAATTACTTCAATCACAACATTAGTGCGTATCTTTCAAAAGTCTTATTTATAGGACATCTCTATTTATTATGAAATTCACTCATTAATGGATATTTATAATTATATCATTTATAACATTTATTTTGGATGTTCATTAAAAATATGATTTAATAAATTATTACTAGAAAAAACTCAATGAGAAAAATATTCATAACTATAAATAATACATTTTATGAAGAAATTTTCACCTCAGCAAGAAAATAAACTAATGTATTATGTCAAGGCGCATTATGTTTTACTTTTTTATAAAATTAAAAACATATTCCCTCGGTTTTTAATAAAACCGAGGAGAAAAATAAACCAGGACACATTTAGAATCATTGCTTTTGTAGTTTATGTTTTTATTTGTTTATAAGTTAAAACTAAGTGATCTAACCCTTTGGTTTTTCGATAAAGCCGAGAGATCTAATAATCAGATTTCACTATAAAAACACTCGTTAAATATATTTTACCCTAATTCTTATTTATATGAAGTTGCCCCAAACTCGCATGCATCATTCTTTGGGATGGATTGCAAGACAGAAAAATCTGCAATGTTCTTCTATCTAGAACATTTTTTTTCTGTTCTTACAATCTATCTTATATAATCGTGTTAATGTTGTCGTTGTTGTTGTTGTTGTTGTTGTATTTTTGCTCATTTGATAGATTACAAGTACAAAAAATCAATCTTGCTTCAAGTTACGCAAAGAAGGGAGTTCAATATTAGAAAAGTCAGACAGAAAATGGAGCTTAACTGATCAGAAGATGGATATCAACGAAGATATTCATTAATAAGAGAAAAGACTTGTTGTAAATAATTTATTTTAATATTCTATGTAAACAATGTAATTAAAAAAATAGTTTTTCACCTCAGTTTTTTGTAATAACCGAGGTGATAATTAAAATAAGAAGATAATGTACATCAGTTTTCTTAAAAAATCGAGGGATATATTAATCAAATTTTTATATAAATACTCTTGTTAAACAGATTTTACCATAATACTAACTTATATATAGCTGCACCAAATAGAGGAAATATTTACCACTGTCCATTTGATGAATTGCTGTTACAAAAAATCTTTTTGGGTGGATTTGTCATGAAATTTTTTTATTTAGAAACACTTAAGAACTTGGGAAACACATCTCTCTGGGATAGATTGCAAATGCAGAAAACAAAAATTCTCATGGTGGGGACATATAACTTATCAGAAGTTGAATAAATTATGGAGTATTTTTTTAGATATGCAACATAAAGGTATGCAACAAAATTTAGAGTCAGGAAAAGATTTATTGTAAACACTGTATTTTAAAATTATTTGTAAACAATGTAATCGAAAAAAATTTATTCACCTCAGTGTTTTTTTTAACCATGGTATATGTTAAGCATTTTTTTAGGTTGTTCACCGGTCTTAATCAAATCTTTGTCGTTCATTTAATAATTATCAATGCTCAAGACTCTGTCATTAGTGATCTGTGTGAAATCTAAGAGACATTCATTATAAAATCATTGAATATTAACATTTTTAACTAAATGAAACATGAAGCGCTTGAAACCTAAAGGCGCATGAAAAAGATCTCTATGATGAATTATAAGAGCAGAAAATTATATGGGTTTAAGGTTTGTTTTCTTAAATATTTATTTTAAAATAAAATCATTTATTTTAATATTGATTTTAATTATCTTACACTTTTTTTTTTACATTATAAACAATTGCATGCAAGATCCAATATTTGATATTTCCTAAAATTCAATAATTCGAAGATATAAAATCTAGGTCTCAGGAAATTTGATTTTTTTTCTTGGTCTCTAGGGAATTTAATTTTTGTTTTAATTTTAGTATTTTGTGTAAACAATGTAATATTATGGGTAAACAATGTAATAACTTTTTGTTAAAAAATAGATAATCTTACCCTCAGTTTTCTAGATAAACCAAAATAAAAGATACGTTAGTTTTGAAAATAATAAAAGTGTTGTTGTTGGGGTTCGAACCCATGTGCATATAACTTTACCTCTTAGTTTTTAAATTACTGAGGTGATAAGTAAAAACTTTTCATGACGCATTTCACTACCTCGCTTTTTTAGTTGAGATTAAATATATTTCACATCCGAGGTGACATCTGGTTTTTGTAGTAGTGCCTAGTGAAGAAAAAGAGTATAGCATTTTTTGTGAGGAAATTGTATTGTTATTAATCAATACAAATAAGAAAGGAAATGATTTGAGAGACAATCACATTTATCATCCATTATTTATAATACTCCTCGTTAAATGTTTGTTTAAAACACGCATCGTTAAAACATTACTAGTGAGAAAAAATCTAGTGAAAGAAAAAAATACAATATCCTTTTAAGCTAAATTCGTTTCCCTCGTCAGCAGAATGATCATTTCTTCGATGATGAAGATTGGTCTTTTTGTAGTAGTTTCTTAAAATAATTATACTTTGGAGTGACTTTAAAAAACATATGTAAGATTATCACATGAAGGAATTTGTTGGATGCTTATATCAGCACTCTTTTGAAGATCATGAGTGAAAATTAACTTTATATAAATGTGTTTTTTCACTATCCTTTAGTATAATCATCTTTCAATTGAGAAACACATACAATATTATCTACATATATAGTTGTTATATTTATTTTTCTGAAAATAAAAACATCAAGTCTATTGTATGTGTTGAATTAAAGATCTCAATCAAACACATTCTCGACTTGCTTCATGTAGTGTTAAAATTTTTACATGATTAGATAAAATTGTTGCTATGGTTTATTTCACATATCTCCATGAAATAGTTATATCATCATAAATAAACAACTAATCTATTTGTGATCTACCATTGTGAGGATCTGATAAAAAACTTGCATCTACATAACCTATTAATTCTAATTTGGATACTTTAGAATTAAAAAAAAAAACCATGTCCTTTATACTCCTAAGATAACAAAGTGTATATTTGACTTTGTTCTAATATCTCCGTGTAAGGGAAGAACTATATCTTTCTAATAAATTGGTAATAAATGATATATCACGACATGTATAATTGGCAAGGTAAATCAGTGTACCAATCACATTGAGATATGGTACTTTAGAATTAAGTATGTGTTCATCCTTTTCTCATAGTTTGAAAGGATATTTATCATATCAATGATCTAACAACCATTGGAGTAGACAACAAATGATATTTATCAATATATGATCATTTTAACATTTTTCTATATAACCTTCCTTATGTACAAATGTTTCATTGTTCAAATGGTCAATTTTTAAACATAGACATAAATTTGTCATTTCTAGGTCATTCATCTCAAACTTCTTTTTAAGTGATTAATAGTATTTAGAAGCTCTTCTAGAGTTTCAATAATATTTATGTCATCCACATAGATAACTATCATAGAAAATTCTTTTTCAGGTCTTTTCATAAAAATACAATGACGTATGATGTTATTTGTATATCATTCCCTTAGAAAATATTCAATGAAACTATTATACCACATGTGTCTAGATTATTTTATCCAAGAGAGAGGTTTGCTCAATTTGATGGAGTAGCTATCTAGAGATACAAAATTATGTGTCTCTCATATATTAAATCTTTTATGGAGTTTCATGTAAATGTCATTATCGAGTGAACCATACAAAATAGGAAATCACAATATCCAACATGTTCAAATTAAGCCCTTCATATGCTTCAAGGCTAACTAAATATAAAAAATTAATTGAATTCACTACGGGTGAACATGTTTCATCAAAATTAATCTTAAGTGTTTGTGAAAATCATTGAGAAATAAATCAAGCTTTGTATCTGACAATTTCACCATTATGATTTTGCTTTTTGACAAAACCTCATTTATATCTAATTGGTTTCACTTTGAGGTGTTCAAACAACATGTCAAAAACGAGTCGCTTATAAAGTGAGTTTAATTTAATAAGTAGATTTCATTTTGATTTTTTAAGATTATAGGTTAATATGTAATTTTCAAATTTTATTTTATATGATAAATTTGAATTAATACACGTTATAAAGGATAAATTACCCCTAAATTTATACGGATAGCCAATAATTTATTTTCACTACAATTTTCACTTTATAAAAATGACATGGTATCACTTGTATACCTATTTTCCATCTCTTTTCCTCGTCTTGTTCAATATTTCTTCTTCGGTCATTAAAAAAAAAACAATTCAATACTTTCTTTCAATTATTCTATCAATCAATTGATTAATTTTCTTTAATAAAAATTGACTTCTTCACGTGTACACGTATGAAACGGGTTGAGATATGACTTCACATGTACACTTACGAATGATATTTTCGAGTTTGGTGAAAATCACCACAACTAAATATAAAGAGAAATATTATTTTCTTTATCCCATCTTACTTCTTATTCATAAAAAACAAAGAATATGATTCTGATTCTTCCATTGAAGTCTCAACTCATTTTGTTTCACATAATCTAGCTCACAACACTCAAAGTCTTTATCATCTTCCTAAGTAAATGGTTTAGATTAACATTGAGTTTAACCAATCTCATAATTACACAATTTATTTTGTCAAAGTAATCTTCATATAAACTAAATTTAAATTGAGAATAAGAAATTTTCATTAGATACAAATATACATTTTAGTTTTATAATTTTGAATCAACCCGTTCAAACTAGAGACTATATTCTCTAAATACCTCCTTGCCTAAATCTTAAATACCTAAAATTCATAGATGAAAATGGTTTATTCTCTATCCATAGTGAAAAGAACAAGAGAAAAATTACATCATAGCTAACGAATAACAACCTGAATTCTTTCTCCGCCGCTTACCGGAAAAAACTTCCCGGAAACCACTCCGAGGAACCGTTTCAACCTGCCACTTATCCAAATCTAATCCAAACTTATGTCCATGATCATCAGAATCACCTTGATAAAGACAACTATCCGGCGAATTCGAGCCGCTATCTTCATGACCCGGCGGCTTAGCCTTCCGACGACCGGCTCCTACCGGTACGTTACGGAGAGCTCCACCAGCCGTCCAATACCTCTGACAGCTCTTACAAAAATGTCTAGGCTGATTAACGTTGTAGTTGTTGAAATAACAGAATTTAGTTTCCATGCTCTTGCATCTTGGACATGGTATGATCTTCTGTGAACTCTTCTCCACCGTTGGATCTTCTTCGCTTTCTTTTACTCCCACGTCATGAAGTTTTATCGTTGCACCAAATAGCTTAATCGCTTGATTCTCTTCACCCATTATTGGATTATTCTTAATGAACAAGTTTCAAGTTTCTGGTTGGGGTTGAGGAGGAAATATTATAGACGTGCTTTTTATATAGGGAGATACTAATAAAGTGAAAAGTGCTTATTAGTTAGCATAATTATAAACCAAGTGCTAGACGACAAAAAAAAAAAAACTAAACGTAGTTGGAGTATAAAGTGCTTCTGTCAAAGGAAATGTGAAAAGTAGTTGAGGGTAGTGAATAAGAAGAAAACTTATGGTGAGTTTATTTTTATATTTTTGGCCAATGAGATTTTGACATAGTCTACGTCATCATCATATGGTGCTGAAATGTCTACAATGTGGGCCAGTTCCAGATAGATCGCTTGCAAAGTGTCAAAAGTTAATAGTGAGGGAATGCATGTACTTTTGTATTATAGATGTGTGTGTGAAAGAAAGAATAAACTCAATTATTCTGTTGAAACATTCATACTATAATAGTACCTAATTAACAATGTATATATCAAACTACTAATGGTTAGGTAACTTATTATAACACGTATTAGTTTGAAGTTTAATAAATCATTATAATATATAAATTAATCATGCTACCTCTCTAATTAAAATTTTGTTAATTTTTTTCTTAAAGTTTATGTGAGTTGAATTCTAAGAATCACCAAAAATCAGAGGTGTATATATCAACTCCTTATCAACTAAATCAATTTTCAGTTCAAACAACTATCTAAGAAAAATAAAATATTAAATAAAAATTTGAAGCAAATATAAGGTTATCAATCATACTAAATCAATTATGATATAAAAAAACGAAAGCAATGAAATATAACACCAATAAGAAAGAAAAATACGTAAAGTCTCGATCCCTATGAATCACTTTCAACAAAAAAAAAATCACACTAAAAAGCACTTAAAACACTCGACCAAAAGAGCATATTGAAGACTCTCTGACTAAAGCATAAAATAGTGAAAATTCAAAGAGGATTTTTGTGAGGTGGTGTTTTAGGGGGCTCTAAGATCGCTTAGGTTAGGTGGTCTGATGTTTGTAAGCTCAAGAGATTTGGTGGCTTATGTGTTTGTGATCTCCGATTGATATTTAGCTTTGTTGGATAAGTAGAGGTGGCAGTTGATTTCGGGTGATTTCGGCTTATGGTGGGATATCCTCTCTGTTAGATATAGAGTTATTCAAACTTCTTCTATCTTGGGAGATAGATTTAATTGTATTTGCTCTGCGTCTCATTAGTGAAGAGGGGTGCCTCTTCTAGGTGGTAAAGGAGAGGGCCCATCAGCCAGATTTTAGAATAATATTGTTAAGAAAATTGGATATGATCTATTCACTTAGTTTTGGAGTGATTCTTTGGTGCTGGATATTCCTTTCAAAGCCAGGTTCCTTTAACTTTTTTCTATCTCCGAGTAGAAGGATAGTTATGTGGGGAATGTTGGTAGATGGGAGGGTCAACCTTGAGTTTGGGACTTTAAGTGGAGAATAGTTCGTATTTTTTAGTGTGAGCATGTGTTGATAGCTGATCTTCTCTAAGTTGTTAGCTATTTTACTACTTCCTCCTAGGATGATAAGTGGTGGTGGTGTCACTCTTAAGATGGTCCTTACTCTTCGGCCCCATCATAATTTTTTCTTCTCACCCGTGATTTTCCTAGTCAACTTCAGGTCTCGTTAATGGAGCTGGTCATTTCTAGTATCTGGTGTAGCTGGCCCCATCTAAAATAATTATTTTCTTATGGTAGCTCTTGTAGGATATGATTCCTAAAAAATATAATTTACTTAAAAGTGTGGTGTTTTTCTTGGTTTATAGGGTGTCTCTTGTCCTTTTTGCTCTAGAATCTTAGAGTCGTCGGCCCATCTTTTTGTGACTTGTGACATAATGGTGTTTATTTGGTATGTGATTTTTAGATGGGTGAGGTATTTCGTAGTTTTACCCAGAGACCCCCTGACTCTTTTCATATGTTTTACCCTTTTGGTTGTCCTTCTAGGCTTATGAGAGATGTCTTATGATATAGCATGTTGTGGTATGGTCGATTTAAAAATCTCGAAATAATATTGTATTGTCAGGTAATATTATGACTGCGAATGTGGAAGACATGATTATCCTTTTGTCTTGGAAATGGTATCTTACTAGTTTTTTCTTCCTTTTAGTTATTGGTGTTTTAGTTTTTGGTGTTTTGCATTGGTGGTTGTGTTGTATATATGTTTTCGTTCTGTTTCTATTTGGTTGAGTTATTTTGGTACCTCTTATTCCTTTACCAGTCTCCTCTTTTGTACGTTGGCCATAGTGTCTCTTTTATTTATATATTTTATTTTATTTTTAAAAAAATATTAGAATTTACAAGTATACTTTATACCCCAAGCTACAACTAAGATCAGTCAACTAAAGGTTCAAGTTCACAACAATAAGAAAATTGAAAAATTTATAGAATTATTTCAAGCTATAAAGAGATTGTAGAAAATGAGATATCAAAGTTTTAATTTAGAAAACTGGTGTAAAACAAAGTGAGGAAAAGCCCTCTATTTCTAGGAGAAACATTGGCTAAAAAAGGAAAAAATTCATGGGTCTTTTTTAATGACATAATCGATTAGCCCTAGTTGTTAATCAATTAAGAGATTTCAAAAGACGATAAACCTAATCCTAAAAAGAAAACTCTACAGTAGTTATGTGGATTAGTTTGCCTTATTCTAATTGATTGTACTAAGTCCTTAATTGATTAGGCCGTGTGAAATACTTCCCAATTGATTGGGAGCAATCCTTGGTAAATTCCAAACATTCCTTGATAGGTTTTCGAGAGGTTTTAAGAAATAAAAAAAGATTTTAAAAACTTTTGTGTGTGTATTTGTGAGTGTGTGTATGTGTGTGAATGACCTTAGTAACTTGAGAGTTACTCTTATACATTTACAGTAAACTGATCATTCAAACACACACTATGCACAATATCGAAAAGGCAAGTTTTCACACTTCCTCTATTTCACAACTTTAAAGCTTTAAGTCCCTTTTCTAGATTCATCATTGAATTTAGAACTTCAATTGGAACTTTGAATCTTTTGACTAATGAGACTTGAGATATATTCATAACTTCACTAAAGACTTTATTGAACATTGTTTGACCTTAGTTATTGTCTTAATCAAAACCACTAAAATCATGTAACAGTTCCAGATAGTTATACCTGCAAGCACATATATCCACAAACTTTTCACATGATATTTCAATGAACCTTCTAACAATTAAACATGAGATTTTACACTAGCTAATCCCCTCTCAAACAAGAAATTTTACACGGGCTAATCTCAAAAACTAAACAAAAACTTTTACCAGAATGAGTTTAGAAACCAAACAAAAATTTCCACTAACTAAACTCAATAACCACACAAAGGTTTAAATAGGCTAATGTCAAGTACCAAAAGAGATTTTACCTTGCTATTCTCAAAAAATAAACAAGAGTTTTTTACTAGTCATGCACATACAACCATATGAACAAACACATGATATTCTCAAAGTCATACACATACCACCAATTGAACAAACACCTGATATTCTCACTAAACGTACCTCAATTTCTATTTTTCTAAAGTTTAGAACCAAATTCAAAGGTCACAATTTTTCACACATGAGTTTTCAAGGGATTATAATAGGGATGTAAATGATAAAAAAAACATGATTTCAATTAATTAGTTTTGTTATGACAGTTATAATTGTTAGTTATTATGTTATGATAGATATAACAATTATAATGGCCTATACTTTTGTCTTAGCCTTTATTTTTATAGGTGCTATATATTCACCGTATTGTAAAACCAATTATGTTAAGTTTTATCATAATGAATATTTAGATAAATTCAACTTAAATTTAAGTTGTAAGAGACTTTTTGTGCCTTTTAAGTTAAATATATCTATATTTGTTTGATAATTTCAATATAAATAATTTAATATTTAAGAGACTTTTTGTGTCTTTTAAGTGTTTTTGACTATTTAGTGTCAATGATGAAATACTTTGCTACCAATGGTAGCCATGAGCACACTTGAGATTGACGAGCCCATGACCTTATTTTTTGTGGCACCAATTTTTTTATCAAATCAGTACTGTAAATATTATCATTAAAATTAAAATTTAAAAAAATGGTACAATATCTTTTGAAAAAAAATTGTGCGTCTTAGTTAATTATGATAATTGAAGAATATAGTGTAACAATTTGATTTATTTCTAAAGAGAGATCTTAACACACAAGGTAATGAGAATAAAAAGGATAGGTGAAATTAGAGCGAAGAAAGAGTGTTTTCTTTTTCAATTGATACTTAAATGTGTAATTACAAATATGTGTTATATCATTTATATAAAATCATATTTTAGTTAATAACCACAAACAAAGTTAATAGTAATCACGTAAATTTATAATAACCACTTGATATGTTATTTATAATTATCTAACCACCTTATAACTAACTTCTAACTTTTAAAAATGAATTTCAACACAATACTCCTCCTAATTCGTGTTGTCTAATCTTTTCATTCTCTTTGATTCCTTGAGACATCAAATCTTGATCTCTTCAAAGGTTTGGTTAGATTATTTGTAAGTTGCAATCCAATCTTTCAATATTCAATCTTCAACATTCTTTACCAACTAGATCCCTTAAGAAATAATACCTCATTTCTATGTGTTTGTTCCTACCATGACTCAATAGATGATTTGCTAAATCAATTGATGATTGATTGTCTACTAACAACCTGATCTGAACAAAGTCACTTACATTTAATTCTTCAAGAATCATCCCTAACCATAATATTTGGTAAAAACCATAAGAGGTTGCAATATACTCTTCCTCGCATGAAGGCAGAGCCATAATCCCTTACTTCTTTGAACTCCATAAAATTATAGCTGCCCTAATCATGAACTAATAACTGAAACAATCAGCTGAACAAATCATCGAGATGAAATCAATGAAGTCGCCATCGAACATTTTTATCCCACGGAAATGGAAAAGTAAACATCGAGTAAACCAGAGAAGGTTAAAAT